GCCATCACTTTGACTGGTCAAGTACTACCCCCCACTGTTCTTTCCTTGCCAGTATCTGTTGCCTTTCTGCCTTCTGTGGTCATTGACATGAAAGCCTGAGGAAATGCTAATTCCTTCATGGTGCCAACAGGTAGGGTATGTGTTCTCTAGAAGCAACTTGAAAGAGGTTAACTCTGCTAATGTCAACATCATTTTAGCCCCACCCTCAACACTACAAAACCCTTTTGTCCCTCTGCCCCCTCTCAACATTGCGATACATCCCTAAGCCCATCTGAGGAAAAGTGGAGATAGCATCCCCCTGTGTTGGGCCATTTTTGGACCCTGCTGGACGGCCTTCATATTTTCGTCTGTGTTCAGACATGTTTGTGGAGTGGCCTGGTTGTCGTGATCTGTCCTGGTGTCAGGGTTCCCAATCTAGTGTTGATGTCATGCGAAGGTACTGTGGGAGGACACGGGTTCCTGCTGTGGGTCGCTGTCCAGCAACACCAGGGGCTAGCTGATGGTGTGGGGCTGGCTCCCAGGTGTGGGGGCTCGTTCTTCTTTCTCTTCAGGGAACTTCTACATTGTGGCTTCAGCACACAGAGGGGTGTCCTGACATTTCTTAAGTTGAAGGTTATATAGACAAGAAGGATTACCCAGAAAAAGAATATCGAATAGGAAATGTGTCTATTTTATGCATTCCAGTATAAAGGTTTTTTTTGTTTGTTTTGTTTTGTTTTTTTAGGAAAAGTGTATGCTTCAGAGGGAACGTAGTATAAGATCTCTCTCTGGATGAGTTTAAGACATCTTTCTATCTCTCATCCAGGGAGGGACTTGGGCAATTTGCAGTAGACCACATCTGCCCATTCCTAGTTCCTGGAACAATGTAGGCCCTCTTAACATCTTATAAGCACAGGAAATGGTTTGGATCTGTGTGTTCCTCCCAAACTCAGCACGTCTCAAGACTGCCCATATATAGAGAATCCCAGTCCCACTCCCTAAGTATGCTCTGATGATAGAAGTAGCAGTAACTCTTTTAGCAAAATGGGAGCATGGAAATGGAGAGTGGGAGTACCCAGGGGGCAGAAGGAAGGGAACCAGGGCCAAGAGGGCCCACAGTGGAAGCAGACGTTCACTTAAAGGGAAGAGTGGCTTTCAGCCAAACATTGCTTTATGTGGAGGGGGATATCTGAGTTTGCTCAAGTATGATCTCAGGACCCCATGTCCTGTTTGGCTCCATGCTCAGCGGGGAGTCTGCTTGTCCCTCTGCCCCCCACCCCAGGCTTGTGCATGCTCTCTCTCAAATAAACCCTTAAAAAAAATGAAAAGAGAGGAAAAATCCAATGATGTATATAATTCAAACTATTTTTTCTCTTGTTCACCTGGCTCTGATCGGTTGGATTCATGGGCCCAGCCACCGAAAGTGGGTTCAAAGGAGAAAGACTTTTGCTCGCCTGTACTATATAAGCTCACTTCCAGCCACCGCTTTGAGTGACGCATCCCTGAGCTCCCCCATGTGTACGGGTGGATGTCCCAGTTAATAAACAGCTGTTTTTCTCTTGCCGGTCTTTCTCTTGTCAGCCTAATTGGTAGGATGACAGGCCAGGAGTGTAGGGGAAGAAGATTTCTTCTCCTCCCTTACACTGTCGTAAAACTTACCGGCGATTCTGATGCCGTGCTGAGCACGTGAGTCTTTTTAGCATATTGGCAAACCTGAGGGGGGTCGTGGGTCCCCTCACTCCATGCTTGAAGGACCCTCACTCACCAGAACATGGTGAGACCACTGTTTGGGAAAAGGAAGAAAGAAGGGGTAGGTACCCGTGGTACTGGTGGTTGTGCAGTCATTGGCGGCAGACACCAAGGGGAGGGGCCGCCGGAAAGAGCTGACACATCAGGCCTAGACTACGATCCTTAGAAAGGCCCTCCTGCGAGGTTTGCCCTTGGCTGGCATCTGGCAACTTGGATTTTTGGAATGTTCTCACCATTCCCTAACCGGTTAGTTTGGCTCACCGTGCCCAAAATGTTCATGCAGACAACGTGGTTAACGCTGACACCTGCTTTCCACCTGGGAGCTGGAATTTTGATATGTGCTAATAAGTAGAGGGTGCCCGTGTGACGGGTCCCCGGTAAAACCCTTGGGCACTGAGGCTCCAACTAGCTTCAGAGGTATGGTCACATTCAGTGCTGGAGGAATTAAGCACATCCTGTAGGATTCTACTGGGACAGAACTCTGGGGAATTTGCGCCTGAGTTTCTCTTGCCTTCACCACCATGTTCTCTTTCCCTGTGCTGAGTTTGCTTCTGTTGTAATAAGTCTAACGCACGAGCAGGATTGTATGTCGAGTCCTGTGAGTCTTTCTAGTGAATCACCAGATCCAGAGGTGTGTCCTGGGGACTCCTGATGCCAACTCCCTAGTATTCTCATTGGAAAACACAATGTAGCAGCCTATTAGGGAATGGTAATTCCATCCAGCGGAGCAAAGGACAGGGAAGACAGGCCAAGAATTGCTGAGTGTGAGTCTGTCTCCACCTTTCCCAATTTCCTATGAGAATGAACCAAAAATGAACCACAGAAGAAAATCCTAGAGGCCAAGGCTAGTATTTCCTGAGATGTGAAGAGATCTTTGGCATCCAGGCCTGACTTTGACAAAACGGAGCTCCCCATGTCAGCTGCTGGTGGTTCTGGAGGGGCTGCTCCCACCCGGCACGGACATAATTCTAAATTTCTCTGCATGTAGCTTGAGAAGCATTACCACTGTCAGGGTCCTGTGAATTGGCCGGATCAGGATGAATTTAAAAACCCGAGACTAGATTGCAAAACATGGTGAGAAGGAGGAGGAAGATGGAAAGCCTGAACACTCAGGAATCACACACGGGAGTCAATGTGAGGGCGGGGAGTTTGGATTAAGTGGAGAAAATGACGGGCAAAGAGTCTAGTAGAAATCCGCAAATCGGGACTCTGAGCTGCCCTTGTAGGAGAGCCTGAAACCTCTCGGCTTGTGCCAGCAGAATCAGGACATAGTATCTCAGAATGCACAGAAATACACGGGAGCGGAGTGCTTTGGTTTCATACAGTTACGGGCTCGAGTGCCAGTCAGACCTCTCCCTAGCTGCGCAGTGTCGGGCAAGTTAGCCAACCTTTCTGAGCCTCCTACCTTCCACACCGGATTTTAGATGCTAGCAACGGGCTGAGCACAGATCCCGGAAAGTAGTTCAGAGGCCAGCACGTCAACCTGCTCTTGTTTCATTGTTACTGTTTTGTAGCTTAGGACACTTACTATTTTCTCTTCCCAGCACCCTCCTCTAGGATTCGGGGAAGTCGTCGTGGAAGATGTGATCCTTGAGCTGACGATAATGGCAGTGTCATAGTTCTCAGTGGAGACAATGTGTTCCTATATTCTTCAAAATTTTTTGAGAGCCTTGTTCATTCCAGGCACTATGGGGCTGGGGACGGGCATACAGTTGTGAGCAGAGGACTTAGAGTCTCTGCCTCCTCGGAGCTGGTAAGCTTGAGGGGAGGAGCCCATGGTTTCCCCTGGGAAGACTGGCATCCCCCACCCCCCGTGCTCCTCCAATTGTCTCTTTCGTGGACAGCCTAGGAATCTGCTGGGACATGCTGTGTGGTCACCAGTCGAGCCTGCCCCACAGCCTCGGTGGCAAAATGGCTTGGGTCTTGGAGCTCAAAATCCCCACTGGGTTCCTAGCTGGGTGAGATTGGGTATGGCCCCAGGTAGTAAGGAAGAGAGGATGTCAGTGGAAACCAACAGTTTATGTTACTCCCTCTGGGTCTCCAGGGGTAGAGTTGTGCGAGGTCAGGCTCTCACACCAGAAAGAGTGGAATGGGGGTGTTCCCTCAGACAACGGTAGATGGTAGATGGAGAGGCATCTTTTCAAAAAATTGTCCAGCAGCAAAATACATCACAGCTTACATGTGTAGGTCAGGACCAGTCAATAGAAATTCCGGGAGCCTCAACACTGTCTAGAAGGTGGATGGGACTCGAAGCATAGAAGGACAGCCTGGGTGGTAACCCCTGCTGGGGAAACCTTCAATCTCCCTGATTGCCACCGCTATTTAGAATCTGGGTCCTTGAGCATGTGTGTTTGCATATGGTGGGCCACTCCACACCATACTGCGCCCCAGCGGTAGCGGTAGCCAGTCCCCACCTTGCCCCTAACCCCATGCTCTTCCACGCTCTCAATGTTGGTTTCCATGGCAATAGTCTTTATTTGGGCCCAGCCACTCCTCTGGAACTGGACACAAGAGACAGTGCTACTCCAGGCCAAGGCTGGCCAGGAGTCAACAGTTCAGTGCTGGGCACCCAGCTGCACCCCCAGCCTTGCGGGAACCAGCAGACAATTCAGAGCTTGGGGAGGGGGGCACCTCACTGAAGTCTGCTGCTTTTATAGCCAATGTAGCTTATGAAACACCTTCCCAGAATTCCCCTTCTGCATGAGGAAAGAGTCAAGTTTCTGACCCTCCACTCACAAAGGAGATGGGAATGCCAGGCCCTCTGTCTTGTCTGGGTACTGGCATAGCCAACAGTCTTCCTCTGCACACAGGTAATCGGATGAGACCACGAGGAAAGCGTACGAATATGGGCCTTGGAGTGGGTGAGAAGAGCCAGACGGTTGCTGCATGGAGGACGACACTATGGGCTTCCCAGCTGGGAGGTGACTATTTGAATATTTTCATTCACTCAGGAGGGTGAAGATCTTTGTCCCCCTCCAGCCTCGTACTAGTGCCCCTTACACACAGGGAGGCCACTGCCCACATATTTCTGGGTGAAGAACCACCCTGTTCAGTAGCAGCAGCTACTGACTGGGCCCTGGGCTCAGCGCCTGGCCTGGAACAGGGTCAAGGGCAGGCCAGCTCCTCCTCAGACCTACCCCGGGCATGCTGAAAATAGTACGGTATGACTGTATCATTTATCCACTGTCCCTAGATACTGTCCTGAAGAGAAACTTGGGAAAGGAGTATCACCCTTAGTCACACACGCAAACCACACACTTACTTCAATCCTGAGTCGAAATTAAAAGAAAATTTATTATAACATCACTATCAAGAACACATATTTACTGGAGTATTGCGATCGAGAATATATATAAACACAGGGCTGAAGCCAAGAGGAAGACAAGGAATATTCTAGGGTTAGTCCAAAGGTGGTCTTTCAGGGGCTCCAGAAGGCGAGATGGCAGTGGGGCAGAGGCCGGGAGAGCTGTTGGCAGGCAGCAGCCAGCGGTGAGCCTCGGTGAGGAGGTTGGAGCAGGGAGAGCTGATGAACAGAGCGCAAACTGAGAAACAGCCAGCCCCACGCAGGCCCAAAGCCCTGCGTCCATAGGTGATTGCACTGTAAGGCCCATAGGCTAGAGGAGTGTGTGTGGCTGAGATGGAAATGGGAAGCAGATATGAGGAAGCAACCCTACAAATATACCCTAAAGCAATCCTGGGGCGTCCCGGGTTCCCTGACTGTGCTCCTGGCCCTCTGCTGCGTTTCAGCTCAGGCTCCCGGGAGCTCTGGGAGTGGGGTTGTGCCCGAGGCCTCACCGCCTTCTTCAAGCTCAGCCAGTGGCAGGAAAAAGCTGCTTATGCCTGTGGGGCTGCTCCTTAAGAGGTAGCCCAGCTCCTTCTCATAACATTCGGCTGCCTGCAGCAGCTCTCCATTCAGCTTGTGGATTAATCCTTGGAGATACCAAGAATTCGGTGCGTTTTGCGGAGGCTGATTTCCAGCCAAGTTCTGTGGTGGGTATTTTGTCTTTCCTTCCTCCGTTGATTTTGCACTTGTGGGCAAACCTTCAAAATCATGTTGGGTAGCAGTGTCTTCAGACTTCGCATGACTCCCCCGAAAGTTGCGATAGTGCTGGGGGGGTTGTTGCCTCCGGGTGCCGGGGAGCTCCTTACTGCAAGCTAGCTGATGGTAGTCTTCTGTTTCCAGGAGCTCATCAGAATATGCATACAGCGGATCTACTCCCTTCTCAATAGCTTTAATCACATAGTCAATAGCACACTTCTTTAGTTCTCCAATCTTCTCTTCATTCCTACTAGCTTCGGATTCTCCTGTATTCTGAATTTGTTTGACCTTTGCCCTATAGCAGCACGCAATCTGGTGACAGAGGTTACCATCGTTTGGAATGGATTTCGATGCCTTTAGAAACAGTTCGATAGCTTTGTCTAGATCCCCTTTTTTTTGATAAAACGTGGCTGCACTGCGAAGGACATCTGCTTGGCAAGGCGTGTCCTCCAGGGCCTCCAGGACCAACCGCTCGCTGTCAGCTTCTTCATTCATCTTCTGCAGCTTCAAAGCCAAGAGCACCTTGACGTACTGATTGTCGCGATTCAGCTCCAGGGCCTGCTTCAGAGCGTCCACGGAGCACGGCTTCTGTGGTTTATTATCCAGATAGTACGTCGCGATGGCCAGCCCTGAAGAGAATTCCGGGTCGTTGGGCTTCTCCTCCAGAGCTTTCTCAAAACACACCTTGGCCCTCTCGCTGTGCTGTGCTCCACACTTAAGCCATGTCCACCCTTCTTCGCAGTCAAGCTCGGGACACTCCACACTATATGGGTTTGAAAACTTCTCGCACACTCGTCTCACCTTGTCCACATACATCTGCGCGTCTGCGTGTCTGCCCAGGTGGTAGGAGACCCAGGCGAAGTTGCCCCAGGTGACCAGACTTCGGGCGTCCGCTTGCTCGCGATGCTCCCGCCGGATCAGCTCCTCCGCCCGCCGCAGGCACTCCAGCGCCGCCTCGTGGTGACCACGCAGGTGTTTTATGTAGGCCAAGAAATTGTACATCGTAGCTTTGCACTCAGCGTTTACCGATTCGATCTGGTGACACACTCTGTCTTCTAGATCGCCTAAGACACCACCTTCCTTAGGTAAGTTCCACGTGAAATGGCATTTCAGCTGTGCAAGGGTTTTCTCCAGAGAATCCTTGTCCACCTCACTGTGGAGAAAATAAACACGGTCACTGGGACACGCACCTGCGAGGCACTGCACCCGGGCCGCGGTGACAGGTTGTGTCAGCTCGCCAGGCTGTGAGGTGCCCGAGCTCTCATTAGACGATAGGTCTGGGTGTGTGTGTGACGGTGTCCCCAGGAGAGATGAGCCGCTGACTCGGTGGGCGGGGAAAGCAGACCGCCCTCCCCCGGTGTGGACGGGTCTCGCGCGTCTGCTGAGGGCCCCAGTCGAACCCAGAGGCAGAGGAAGTGTGAATTCTGTCTGTCTGTCTGTCTGTCTGTCTGTGTGAGCTGGACACTGGCCTTCTCCTCTCCTTGGACTGGAGCTTATGTCGTCGGCGTTCCTGGTTCTCAGGCGTTCAGACTCGGACCGGAGCCTCTGGCTTTATCCCTCCAGGTCTCGGGCCTTTGGACTCTGACTGGAATCACGCTCCTGCTCTCTCCTGGGTCTGTAGCTTGTGGCCAGTGGACCGTGGTTATGAGCCTCAGCTTCCATATCGTGTGAGTCAATTTCTGATAATAAATCTGTCTCTTTTTCATTGTGTGTGTGTGTGTGTGTGTGTGTATATATATATATATATATAATATACTATATATACATTTTATATATAGTATATGACGTATATGTACTATACACACACATACATATTTTTTAAAGCAGTAGTAGGTGAGGATCTTTATCTTAACCTTGATTTTACTGGAGAGTAGGAAAAAAAGTAGGTAAAAATAAGTATGTTTAGAAGTTATTGTAGAATGCATAAAAAAGAGGGTTAAAATTCTCAGTGAGGGAAACCAAAAACTATGTCCAGTTGTATAAAGTCTCCTCCCTTGCAAGAAATGGGAATAAAGCCGTAAAGATCCAGTTTGGTTCTGCTGTTGACAAATATACAAGGTGACAGAAAAACCAGTTGAGGTCAAATGCTGTGAGTTCACTATTTGTACCTGCCTACTTTCAATCTGAGCGAAGTTGATGGCTCCAGGGCAAGGCTGAGCTGATGGCAGGACAGCCAAGTGTTCTCCATAACGGAGTCCATCCTGTCTTAACCTTCAAGTAGAACCTGAACTAAAAGCCCTTAGTGAAGCCTGAGCTCTGGAGTGGGCTGAATGAATTTCCTCTATTATGGAGCTCAGAGTTGTCTACTTCTCGGTGAGCAAACACAGGGAAGAACCTGGAACAACTCCCTTTAGCAAATGCCTGCTACCTGTCCGCAGCCTTGGTGGGTGGGGCCGGCATCGCCCAGCAGCTTCTATGTACATACATGTATCTCCCACCAGTTCTGTTTCTCTGGCGAGCCCCGCGCACTCCACACCCTACATTTTTCTAGACAGAAGAGGAGGTACCCTCCCTCTTGCTTCCTGGCTTCATCTCCTCTAGCTGTGGTCTGTACAAGAATCCACGGAGCAGGTGCCTCCACCGTCTGGGCAGACATGGATGGGAGGACAGGAGATGGGATCTCTCGTCCTGCTCCGCTAGAAGTCGGGCTGAGTCCTCACATTCTGGGCAAGGTTGATTCAGCCATCCCATGACCCTTTACAGGGCTATGCCTTTGCATCACTTGGTTAGTTTAAAAGGATGCTAAGAACAATCAAGGTTAGATATCCTGGCCCTCTTCGGCCTACGAGCTCCCAGACTGGTTACAAGGAGCCATGTAAAGAATCGAAAGCCCAGGGGTGTTTGCTACCATGCTGTGCGACCGAATCTTTCCCTTCAGCTGCTCCAACTTCTCCCCACATCACACACACAGATCCCCAGAGGCTCGGGGTCAGTCTCACTGAGACACAGTCCCTGATACAGGCCAGATCCCCAGACAGAACCAATGTATTTTGAGAAACAAACAAAACTGTTTGTTTGGAAGATACCAAGGGAGATCATTTGCCTTATTCAGTTCAGTAAGTTACGGAGTTCTCAAAGTGTGTTCTCAGGTAGATACTTGCCTGGGGCTTAGGTGGGTATTTTACTGAGTTTGTGTTCCTTCTTTCCTACTAGTAGATTCCATGAGCTTGGAAAGAACTTCCAGAAATCATGAAACCCAGTTATTGTCCATAGTCTCGGATTCCACGGAGTAGCACAGTATCAGAAAAAAGTTATGAGCCAAATAGAGTTGCCAACTCACTGGGGGGAAAAACGTAACCCCAAAGACACCAACCACCTATGCTTACCAATACTGTATTAAAGCAAAGAGGAAGAAAAGAAGCATTTTTATCATTACTGAAGAAGGAAGAAAGATAAAATCAGAATCAAGGGAAGTCTTTTAGTCAAAATATAATTTTACTCAGTGAGGAGCTGCTGACTTTATTTGCAGTTTCCCGTGTGGACCAGCCCCAGCCCGCACGCACAGCTACGAGTGCTCTGTTCTAGCTGCTTCTGTCTCTCCAGTAAGTCCTAGCTGAGCCATTGCTGACCCGATATGGTTGCAGCCAAAATGCTTTATAGTGAGAGACGCAGAGGCAAGGGAATCGAACCAAGCCCAGGGAAGAGGGGGAGGCTGCTGTCTCTCTAGATAGCCTTTCAGGTGTGGGCTTCTGTTCTTGGCAATCTTTCCCATTCCTTGGGTCCCTGGCTAGAGCCCCACAATGCCAATGTCTTTTTGTCTCCATTCCAGGGTTTTCCAATTTGGCTTCATCTGGTGATTCTAGCTGCCCTGTGTGAAGGACTACAGATCATAACTCAGGGTAGCAATTATTAGAAAATAAATACTAAGGGCAAGTTACAAAGAAGCTCACTGAACACATATATTTATAACTGTTACACGATCAAGGTATTGATAAAGTGATAAAGGTATTTCCGTGTTTGGACACTGGTTACCTGTGCTGATTACCCAGTTAGGACATTTTAGAGAGAGGAAGGCAGGCGGCAATTTCAGATCAGTACAATGTATCTGTAGATATTGGTGCCCGGAAATAATAGGTTGAACATTCTAAGGATTGGTAGAGAGTGTTCATCCAACTTCTCAGTGAGCCTAGAGAAGGGCAAGAGACTTTGGAGGTCTTTGCCGCAACAAAACCAGGAGCCACTTTGCCAGTTGGATCACACTCTTCCTTTCTTTCTTTCTTCCCTTCTTTTTTTTTTTCCCCCCTGTGGAGGTGATGCAGGCTGACATATCAGTAAACCAGAGAGATCTTATCAGACTACATTTTTAAAAAAGATTTTATTTATTCATTTGAGAAAGGAGATAGAGTGAACACAAACAGGGGGAGTGGCAGAGGCAGTGGAAGAAGCAGACTGTCCGCTGAGTAGAGAGCCCGATGTGGGGCTCGATCCCAGGACCCTGAGATCATGACCTGAGCTGAAGGCAGATGCTTAACCATTTGAGCCCCCCAGGCGCCCCAACAGACTACATTTTTAAGCACTTATTGATAAAGATTCTCTCTCCAAGATGAAACATATTCCAACCCTGTCCTATATAAGCTGTGGGAGATGTCATGAAGTGTAGGACAGGCAGAAAAGCTCACTCTACATTCCTGACCCCAGCAGAGGACCGAGAGGATGGAACGCGTCGGGTTATCCCATCATACCACTCCTTCACAGTGCTTGAGCTGGCCATGCTAGGACATTTATGGTAACAAAGGGCAGTTTATTCAGGAAGATAGCCAACTACATAAGTGGCTTCATAATTATAAGGTCTATTGAAAACTGGAACTAAGGTCTGTTGGTTTTTCAAAAACCTTCCTCTGTAGATTTCTGATTTGATTAGATATTTGATACTTGATATCCCCCTGAAGTAAGATTTGGAGCAAAGTATATGGGACTGGGAGTCCTGATATCTAGATAAGAAGAAACATAAAACTTCGAGCTGGCATCCAGGGGATCTGCCATAAAACACTAATGCCTTGGTAGGTAAATTGCTTCCAAATGTAGTATAATGATTAAAATACAAAGGTTTTAAAAAATAACTATAACTACCATAATTTGTTAATGTAAAGACAAGGTAAAAAAGATATAAACTGTGACATCAGAAACATACAATGTGGGGGGAGGGCAGAGTAGAAAGGATTCTTTCAAACTTAAGTTACATCCTTAAAATAATCTGTTAAAAATATTAGATGTTTTTTATTTAAGCTTCATGGTTACATCAAAAAAAAAAAAACGTGTAGTAAATACACCACAAGGTAGCGAGAAAAGGATACAAGGCTACCACTACTACAGAGAAGCATTAAATCATAGAGGGAGAGAGCAAGGGACTAGGAAGGGAGCAAAGGGATTATAAAACAGGCAGAAGACCATGAACAAAGTGGCCATAGTAAGTCTATAGCCGTCCAAAATTGCTTCACATATAAACGAACTAAATCCTCCAATAGAAAGACATAGAAGGTTTGAATGGATGTAAAGAACACGTGCTGCCTCCAGCTTCAAGGACACACACAGACTGGAAGTGGGCAGACGCACAGATGCTCCAGGCAAGCTGACGGGAGCAGGGGTGGCTCTACTCACACCAGACTAAACAGACTTCCAGTCAAAGAGGGAAACAAAGTCATGATGTAATGACAAAGCAGTCGATCCGAGAATGGGTAGGGTTATTTATAAATGTTTATGTACCCAACACACGAGCCTCGAACTATGTGAAGCAAATACTGGTAGACCTGAAGGGGACGGACAGCAATACAGTAGCAGGAAGGGACTTCTGTGCCCCTTTTCAACAGTGGAGAGATCATCCAGAAAGAAAATGAAGGAGGAGACATAGGACTTAAACTACACTTTAGATCAGACGAACTGAGATGTTTACAGAACATTCTGGCCAACAGCAGCCAAATACACCGTCCTCTGAAGTGCACATGGGACATTCTCTAGGATAGATCATATGTTAGACCACAAAGCAAATCTTAAAACTTAAGAAGACTGAAGTCATATCAGGCATCTTACCTTTTTTTTTTTTTAAAGATTTATTTATTTATTTTAGAGAAAGAGAGAGAACGTATGGGGAAGGGCAGAGGGAGAGGGAGAGAGAGAATCTCGAGCAGACTTCCCACTGAGCATAGAGCCCAATGC